GCGCAGATTTTATACTTTTAATATTAGACGGCCATTATTAAAAATTTCCTCTTCGAAAAATTAATATTAAAATATTCCACTACACGAATAAAACAATTATCTTATTTCATCGTTCGTTGCCGACGATATGTCTTGAGAAAATTAATTTAACTGTTTAAGGCATGTTTTAGGTGGGCCTTCCGGGTCTGGGAACCGGTACGGCGAATGCATTCTTCTCTGACTGAAACTATAAACGTGCATTGTCGACTGCGACGTTGCGAAACGTTTGCCTTAAGTAGGTCGATCGAACCGAAATTTTTTCCTGATATAAAAATGCTCTGTACAGCGATGTTGGCCTGCCTGGAAATAGTGTACAGGATGGTAGGTTGTTGAATTTATTCTAAATAATATAAAACATTGAATTTTAGATGGAGTTGTGCGAGTATACGTTGTAAGTTTAGACATGTTCACCGTGTTCAGAAACTGAAAAAGTTTTGGGAAGCTCAGGATACCTTATCAGAAACTATATTACACCTATATATACATCGAAAGTTTAAAGCGACTGAATTATTGACCCGAAAGTAATAGTTCGTACGTGTTGGTTGGCCATTTGTTTTTATTTTTCAGTTTAGTGTGTACGGTAAGTGGTTCAAAACCGTAAACGACAAGGAAGTACAAAATCCTCAAGCCAATATTAATTGAATAAGTCTCTCTATTCTACGTCTGACGGTTTCATTATCAAAAGTATTAAAGAATTAATCAAAATCCACACACAGACGACGCGAATTTTGATGAAAGTATATCGCCTATGTATTAGCTGTGCAAGTCCAAAAATTCAGCGTATTTACGACAATCGTTATATTATGTGCACTAATTTAATGCAGGGAGGATTTTCGAGACACGCTGCAGAAGCATAACAATATTTCATCAAAAAAATCTCCCATACTGTAACGGTATCCACCATTATGAGTAAAACGATTGGCATTAGAGCTGAAATCTTGAAAATATCGGTAGGTTTTAAACGTTTGCTCATCGATGCCTTCGGTGATAACCAAACTTTGTTTATTTTTCGCATCCTGAGATAGTTTGTTAATCCTAAAAACTTGTTAAACATGGTTTATACGTTTTGTCTTCCTTTTGTGGGTACCCTTTTTCGACAACTCGTCTTTAAGATACTCCAATTTAAAATCTTAACCCAATCTCAACGAGGTCTTCCTTACTCCTTGTACCTATCTTCTTCCTCGGGTTCTCAAAATATTCTCCTCAAGATATTGATCTTTTATGAGTATCTGCATCTCTTCTTTAAATTTTCCCTGTGTATGTACTACCTTCCGACACCTACTTCTCCAGATATTCGCATTGAAAGTTTTGACCTATACATTGTGTCTCTTCTCTCTATTTTCACTCTGTAAGTATACTCCTCCCACACAAGTTTTTAAAATGCTCGTATTGGAACCCATCAACCTATACATCGCGTGCCTATCGTTCACTATACAGGGTGTTACATGACCGCATGTAAAAGAAAATTGAGTGATAGAGGGGATCAGGACAAGCACTTTTTCCAAATAAACTGAAGGTTCAATATGTTTCGTTTGGGAGCCACCCCCAAAGAAGTGGTGAAATTTAATTGGAAACTTGGACGCGCGAAAAAAAATTCTGATTTCGACGAAATTTGGTATCTGGGGGTTTTTGAACATGAAAATGACGAATGTGGAATTAGTTTTTGAAAATTCGAAAAAAAAAATTCCACTGCAATTTTTGCCCGGACAACGAAAATGAAAAGAATTCCACGAAATTTGCTGTGTACATACTTGATGAGTTAAGGAACAAAGTTGTCGAACAGTTTTTTAAAATAATTTTTCGATTTAAGTCGATGCCATAAACCTCACTATTAATGCCAGTCCCTTTTGCCATACATTCAATATGCAAAACGCCCTCGCAGTTCCCAAAAATGGTCACAATCAGTTTTGCTTTTTTTTGCGGACAGAAATCCCTTAGAACCATTGCACTGATTCGCTTTGTGGGAGAGTGGGTCGCGGTTGTAACGAGTCGAGGGATTCATCGACACTATTTTCGTGCCAAAATCTCCGTAAATAGTCAAAAATTTTGTACCAGACTTCTCTTCCTTTATCTATCGTTTACCTATTTTTTTCACAAGGAGGCCCCACCACTTCAAGGTCATGGTCTTGGGTTTTGAAAGATATCTGAAATACGTTTCAGACATTTTTGGAGTTTAATTCTATAGGTCGACAAAGAAGATATTCAAAAAACTAATTTTTTGTGGTTTTAAGTTTAGGAAGATATTGGAAATACGGGCCACAACTTAGGTCCATAAACAAAGTCGCCCTTTAGCAGTTGTAGGTCTTTCTCATTAATACATACAATAACACATAATACATTAATACACACATACGTAATTATAGTGATATTACTGTACAGCCCGTTTCACGTGTGAATAATGTGTGTAAACTTAGAAAAAGTAAGAATTTTCATACAAGACTAGGAAAACGTTCTACATGTAAGTACAGAACATTTATTCTGTACTCTTTGCTTGACGCTTTGCTTTTGCAATTAGAAATACATAATTTGTCATTTTTTAAGAGTTCTTCATTACAGCATGTTTCTGTCATCTTATTGAACGCTTTTGCTTTGTCACTTACATTCACTTCATAGATTGCAATAAAAGCGTGCCGTGATAACACGCTCACGCCTTAGTTACGGCACCAAAACCACGACCTCGGTCCATTAACAAGTCACTCCTTAAGTTACGCAACCAAGAAATCCCCTTCACTAAGGTCATGATTTTTTTCGTCGAAGAAATCCCAAGACCACGACCATGTCACGTAACCAGGGAAATCGCAAGACCGCGACTTTAGTCCAAAACTCAAGGCTATACTCCTGAAGAACAGATTCGATCATGATTTGTGACTTGTAGGGAAGAACGCGCTGCCATATTTGCTGTGACTCATTTGGTCATTACCTTTAATAAAAGATGTAATGGCCGTGTGATATTTTTGGTGAAGTTTTTCTCTTGTGATTTGATTTCTGCGCTTTACTGGCGGTATT